TTATAATCTCAGCTACTCTTGGATAATGAAACGTAAGAATTTCAAATTCAAAGCCAGCCAGGACAATTTAGGATATCATGTTTCAAAATAAAATTTAAAAGAGATATAGCTCAAAGATCCTTGCATTCAATTTGCAGTGCCAAAAGAAAGGGAAGGAATGAGCTGAAGATTTGGCTCAGCAGGGCAGGTGCCTGTCAGGCAAGCATGAAAAAAACAAACAAAAAAAAGGAAGTGGAGGAAAGAACTTGGGATAGAAAGGAGAGAGAAAAAGATGATTTACGGTTTTTTGTTTGTTTGTTTTTTGTTTTTGTTTTTTTTTTGGGGGGGGGTGGTACTGGGGATCTCACGATTTGCGCTTGCCAGGCAGGTGCTTATACTACTGAGCTAAACCCCCAGCATATCTTATTTTTAAATATTTGCTTTTTTTGTTTGTTTGGTTTTTTTTGGTAGCAGGGATCGCACTCAAAATTGCTTGCCAGGCAAATATGTGCACTACTCAAATAAACTCCCAGCCCTGCATTTTTTTTTTTTTTAAGACAGGGTTTCACTATGGCCTTGATTTCAGTTTGTAGCCCAGCCTGGCTTCCAATTTACAGCATTCTTCCTGCTGCAGCCTCCCAAGTGCTGAGATTACAGGTATACACCACCAAGCTTGAAATATTTATCATTAATTTGTATTTTCATCTAAAAGTCATAACATTATAATGCAAATATGAATGTCATACATATTTTCACTGTATAGAATTTTAAAAGGGTAATTATAATGTTATAACTATTATAAGAATCTACATACAAGTTTTGTGCTTTTTTTAATAAAAAAGCTTTTTAAAAAAATCAAATCAGGGGCTGGAGGCTTAGCTCAGCGGCATAAGCGCCTGCCTTGGAAGCAGGCAGCCGTGAGTTCGATCCCCGGTACTGATAAAAAGGAAAAAAACCAAAAAAAAAAAAAAAAAAAAATCAAATCAGGGCTGGGGTATAGCTCAGCAGCACAAGAACCTGCAGAGCAAGCACAAGGCCCTAAATTCCTGGTACCCACTCCACCACACCCCGCAGTCTCAGAGAAAACGATTACTGGAATTAAAGTATCCTTCAAGGGATAAAACCTTTTTTTTTTTTTTTTTTTTTTTTTTTGTAGTAGGGACAGAACTCACAACTCCATGCTTGCAAAGCAGGCACCTGTGCTGCTGAGCTGAATCCCTGGCCAGATAATGCATTTTTAATGTCTAGAATAACTATGAAGAGACTTTCATTATGTATTTTAAAGCCTAAAAGTTTGTAAGTCAATACTTACATTCCTAAAACATTTAAGTCAAATTTATACAGACAATACAAAACTGAATATAAGAGGCATGATGGATGGCACATTCATGTAAACCCAGCAACTAGGAAACTAAGGCAGGAGGATCACTGCGAGTTTGAAAACAGCCTGGGGTACAAAGTGAGCCCAAGGCTAGCCTGAACTGAACAGCAAGACCCGTCTCAAAAGGGGGCGGGGGGGGGGGGGATTAGTAATGCAGACAAATCTTAAAAATTTTTTTAAATTCTTATAAATGCAAGGCAACTTTCTGCGAAAGTGGCAAGGTCTTATTACAAATAGTGCAGAGAAAAACTGTCTTGCAGAAGCATCTGAAAAATTAAGGCTAAAATATGAGGGTGCCTACTTAAGCATGTACAAGACTTAAATATATTAATTTATTGAAAAAACAGATAAATTTTAAGAGTTAATCCCAGCTACCATTAAGTAAAAACTGACCTCATCTTAGAAGAAAAAAGCCAAATTATTTTTAAAACTACCACAGGATAAAAATTCTAAAACCACCCAGGAATATTGCCACACGGCATAAGCTTGGCTACAGCAAGGTTGAGAGTCTGATTTCCAGTACAAAGAAAAAAAATTCTAAAACCAGTGTTGTCCAGTGCTCAACCAAACAAAAGCTGTTTCCTCTAGCATTGCTTTTAAACTTCCTTGACCATGGGGCTGGGGTACCGATAAAAAGAAAAAAGACAAAAAAAAACTTCCTTTACCAGAACTCCAGTTTATTCCTTCTAGCATCTAAATCAAATGCAAAGCTTAAAAACATATTGACTTAAAACTTTTTTAAACTTTCCAGGTAAGTATTTCACTGCTGAGATTCACAGGCAGCAATAGAAAATTACATTAAACAATGGAATACTATTCAGCTTTAAAAAGAAACAATTACTATATTCTGCAACATGAATAAAATTAAATTATAATAAACAAAAAAGCAACCCAACCACCACCCACAGAAAAAAATACAAACTGAAAGATCCCATTTTTTAAATCCAAGGAATGGAAACAATCTAAAACATCAAAAAGCAAACAGTATGAAGAGGTGAAAAACAAACTGAAAGTGTTTCAAAAGGCAAAATGTAAGAACTTTCTTAGATATACTAAGGGTTTCTTGTATACCTATGTCAAAAATTAAATATTATTTATACTAAAAAAACATAAGCAACTTTATTCTCAATCAGTGATATCACAAAAAGAAAAAATTTTTTAAACAAAAGGGGGATGGTCATAGTAAAGCACGCCTATCTATATTCCAGCACTTGGGAGGAGAGTCACAAATTCAAGGACGCCCTGAACTATTCAGTGACATCCTGTCTCAAAAATAAATAAATACATAAATAAATGACACAGACTTTTTTTTCCTTTTTGGTCTTTTTGACACAAGGTCTTGCTATGCAGTTCAGGCACAGTTGAGATCACTTTGTAGCCCAAGACTAATCTCAAACTTGCAATGATTCTCCTGCCTCAGACTCCCAAATACTGGGATTACGGATGTGCACCACCTTTCCTGACTTTTGCAAAGCTAATAATTATTATTGCCTATGTTGTATCATAGCTGGTCACTATTTTGCCAAAGAACTTGTTCACAGAGAAATTTTCACTTACATACAGTCTGATTTATTAGTCAGGTGGATTTACTGAAAAAATTATTGCAATATAGTTTTCTGGTCATTATCTGTGACTAAAACAGTAAAATAAACTACAGCTAAAATAATTTAGTGACTGTCTAGGTAGTGCACATTCCTAGTGGTCAGAAAGCTAAGGCAACAAAATTGTGAGTTCAAAGGCACTCTGGACAAAACTGGCAAAACACTCCATCTCAAAAAAAAGTGTGTTAAGCATGATTGCTCACTCCCATAATCCAAGCTCTCAAGCGGCTAGGGAAGAACTGCCTGGCCAGGCTACACAGTGAGTTCATGGACAACCAGACATGATGAGACCCTGTCTCAAACAAAACAAACAAAAAACTTAAGTGACTATACCAAAGTAAATGCAAATAAAAATCATGCAAATTGTCTTCATTAAAAAAAAAGTGACACATATAAACAGTGGAATACTATTCAAACATAAAATGCACTAACAAAGGTGGAACTGCGATCATGAAGTGCAGTAAGTCAGACACAGAAATATAGTATCACACAATCTCACTCATGTAAATTCCAACAAAATTAAATTTCCTAAGAAATGAGACTGGAATATTGGTTACCAGAAAAGCCTGTAACAGAAGGAGGAATAAGAATGTGTTGATCAAATGATACTAAATTACAACTGGCTAGGTGCAGAAAGCACAGCACAGTAATAACAGAAAACAATAATATGTATCTCAAAAGTAGAAAAACAAGACTTTGAAACTTTAAGGTTGATCTCTGAGGAGATATTTAGCCTTGTTTTAAAACTGCCCTATATATGTAATGAAATTACATACCATTCAATTTGTATAGCTTTTATGTTTTTATGTATTTTGTTTAAATCTTCAACTTCATAAAATTAGCAGCTTAAAGTACAGCTCAGAGTTATAGAACTTGCTTACTCTATGGACCTTGGACTTGATCACCAGCATCAATGAATAAAATCTCAAAAAAAATTATTTAAGAAACATTGACTTAAACTAGAAAAAATATGTAATAAACGTAATGGATTTAGCATTACATGATCCTACTTCATATACCAAGTGATATAAGATAAAAATATAAATAATTTTAATTACATATTTAATAGGGTGATAACAGAAACAGGTTCTATCATCTTTATGCAATTGTTTATTAGCAAGTTACCAACTGAATTACAATTAATAAACCAGCTTTAAAAATGTATTCAATTTTTAAATAATAGGCAAACATCTATTTTTTAAGTTGTAAGCAATAATATTTATTATACACCATGAAGTTCTTTAAAATCAACCGACTAAGATTTCTCTATCTATATCTCCTCCCTCCACCAAAGATCCCTCCTTTATTTCTCCTCCCACTATTTCCCGCCATCTTGGTTGATAGAAGCAGCCATTAACTAAATGACAGTGCCAACTTTTTCAGTCACACAAACAAGAAAACCTCTCCCATATCTCTTCAAATAGTCAGGAAACAAGATTCCAAAGAGAAAATAAGCCCACGCATTCATAAATAGCATTTGTAGAACTGTTTCTGTGATTGTTAAATCCAAACCAAAGAAGTAAACACTTAAAACTTCATGTCAAATACACACTGATCAGTATATATAGATGAAGCAATCAATACAAGCTCTCCATTGCAGTAAAGGATGCAACTTAGTTTTTCTGAGATGTAAGACAGCCTAGGTTAAAATTAAACATCACAACCGGATGTTAAAGAGTGGGAAGAAAATAATTGAGGGCAGGCAAGTCGTTAACTCTGAAAGCTATTCATTTCACTGTGATACAAAAATTTAAGGATTGTCGCCCTGAACAAAAATCCCTAAAAAAAAAAACAGACACCATGCAACTCTGGTGATACAAAGGTGTCTCAAGTTACAGGGAAGCATTTGGCAAAGTGGTAAGCGAGATGTTCTGCAGCAAGAAAGTGAAGGTAAGATATACTCAGAATGGCCTTTGAGCATTGTTGGCGACCACAAAAAACGCTAGCCCAATAGTGGAGTCGCAAGTCCTGGGAACAAACATCAAGAAGCGATACCAAAAATGACAAAGTAAGCTGTTAGACCCGCATTGCTGCCGTACCTTGTCCAGTAGAGTCTTCGTCCTGACGCCATCTTCGTGACGCTCCAGAAACCCAAACAGGGTGCTGCGGGGAGAAACACAAGCGGCCTGTTAACGCTAGCGAAAAGTCACTGACTTGTCCCTTCCCAAGTCGAAGAACCCGAAAGCGACGATTACTTGATAGGCGCCAAGGCGACACAACCTCCAATTGCCACCAGACAAGCAGCTTTCCTAGAGAGTGACGCCAATCGGTTTAAAGCCAAAAACTGCTTGTGACCGCGGACCGTACCTGTCCAGTTCACGGAGAGCCTCTCTGTCCTCGACTGTCAAGCTAAGAGATTCGCCTTCACCCTGGCCTTTCGCTTTTTCCGCCGCCATTTTCTTTTCCTCATTACCGAAGGCAGTAGCAGCGGCAGTAGCGAGCGACAATCCGCAGGATTTCATGAAAACGCAATAAATTTACAACTTCTACGTCGATACTCACTGAACACCAACACAGCTCTAAATGATATACTTAATCGCAGTTTGAGACTAAAACATCAACTTTATCACCGCCACGAAGTTGGTCGCGAAAAACTCCGAAGACGAAACCCAGTTAAAGAAGGGTTGCGAAATTCGACTTATCAGGTTACATCTTTGAGTAGACGGTGAAGGGAGGAAAACCGAAGCCAGCAATCCTGAACAGTCAGGAATGATTTCTTAGAATTACAAACTTAGCCCGCAAAAGTTGAAATAGTGTCACAGAGTCAACCCTACGGAACTGCCGTAACCTCTCCTCATAGCCAGTTAGATGCACCAATGGAAAAGCCCACTTTTTTCACATGACTTTTGTTGACTTACGTCAGCGGTGGTGCCACTAAACTTGCTAGCTGCCCAAATTGTGTTTCTTCATAACAGTAGGTACACGGAACCGAAGACCTGGCAGTTGTATGGGTATTTAGTAGACTGGTAAGATTTTGAAGAAAATGTGAACAGCCTTTAAATTCCGCTGAACTTAAGTAGAGAAGACTATAGAACGGTCAGGTTGGCACACTTCGTAGCTACGGAGGCCTCGCGGGGGGAAGGGTGCAGTGTACAGAACTACTTCCGGCAACTCCAACCGAGGGGAAGTGAGCTTTTCTTTGACCTGCCGGGGACGCGCGGGAGATCCTAGAGTAAATTTCCAGTGGTTCTCTGCTTTGTATATGCAGAATATTGCGAGTGTCAAGAGGATCGCATTGCGGGAAAGGACCTTAACGTTTCACCCTCAGAAGATTGACACTTTGAGGAGGAAGAGCAGAATACGGGTCTTGGCGAGAAGTAATTGCTGGCTCTAAATCTTGTCAGCACATTTTATTGGACCTGTGTTCGAGGCTACGCCACTCAGCCTTATCACAATGTGTTAATTCCCTCGGACCTTATCCAAAAAATACTATTGCCAATAGGATCTAGTTCTTGACTATAAATCTATACCTCCGACATTGTGTTAGCGCTTTTTTTTTTTAATTCTATTACCAAGCCAAATTGTACTCCTAATGTTATAGTCCCTTAGATTCTCTGAAACATCTTTTCGGTTTCCTTTCTTTATTCCATTATAATTAAATGACTTAAGAGATCTGAATTGCAACTAGCCATGTTAATTATACATTAATTATAACAGATAGTGAACTGTGATACAGCTGTCGCTTGGCACATAAACACATTTACATAAGATGACATACAAAATCTAAAATATAGTATTTTTCACAGTAAAGCTCACCAGTTTCATTCCAGATAGGTTACCTCATTTTGGAGGTACTCATTACAAGGTGATACACCAACAGAATTTCTTACAGATAATTTAGAAGTTTCAGTCAAACCCACAGTGCTTCTTTCAAGGAATGTACCTAAAAAAGGAACACTGATCTAAATTTAAAATGTAAAACTAAACTAGGCATACTAGAGCATGCCTATAACCCAGCACTTAGAAGGCTGAGGCAGGAGGATCAGTGTAAATTCTGCTATTCAAGATCATATTGAGCTTCCCAGTGATTTCAAAGCCAGCCTAATTATGTAACTAGACCTTATCTCAAACAACAAAACAAGCTGGAACTGCCTATAACCCCAACATTTGGGAGACTGAGGCAGAAGGGTCCCTGTGACTTTGAGGTCAGCTTGGGTTACATAGTGAGTTCAAGGCCACCTGAATTACAAAGTCACACCCTGTCTCAAAAGTAAATAAAAAGGTAAAACAAAAAAGATAATTGATCTGAAAAGACAATTTCCCAAAAAAAGATACAAATAGTAAAAGATGATGCAAAGATGCTCAGTATCATACATCATTAGTGAAATGGAAATAAAATAACAATACCACTTATAGCTATTAGAATAACTGAAAATTTTAAAACAAGATTTTGGTGAACATGCAGGATGACAGAACAGGAACTTTGGTTCATTGCTAGTGGAATATGAAGCTAAATAATGATGAAGATCTTGCTACTAAGTATATAGTCAGTTGGTGGAACAATTTAAGTTCATACAAACATATGAACATTTACTGTATAGCAATTTAAATCACTAAGAATTAAAGTCAACCAAGTTGTCCTAAGACTAATCAATGAACCCAGTAAATGTTAACTCTTTTTAAATAAATCCTTGTGAAAAGACAGCATAGTATACAATTCCATATGTATGATATTTGAAAATGACAAAATTCTATATATCAGAAACCAGAGTTTGAGGCCAGGGACAGCACAAGGTCATAAGTTTGATCCTCAGTACCAAAAAAAAAAAAAAAAAAAAAAAAAAAAGAAGAAGAAAAAGAAATAAAGAAACCAGAGTTTGAAGCAGAAAATAATTAAATAGATAAAATTTGGGGGAAGTGAAAGTACTCTAGTTTTACATTGAAATCATTTTTGTCAAAATATATTTTATTCATATTTTATTAAATAAATAGCCTTAATATCTATACACACACACACACACACACACACACACACACACACACTAACATACACAGGATGACCTGGGTAGCCCGCATAAGAAGGCATATCATCACAAAAGAGTATAGCTACACCATATATGTAGCCTCAGAGCTACAACCTTGGGGAAATGGGAAAGGAGGGTGCTGACTTTAGTAGTTTTAAAACTAAATGAAATTTATTAAAATATTAGCAAAAGAGACTACAAATAGCCTGCATATTGTTAATAAAAGTATTTCCTAGTGAAACTTTGTTGAGAGATTTTTGAACACTGATTTAATTTTACATGGTCTCATCAGACTTTACGTTCATGATTCAATTTGGGCTATACTGAATGTGTCAAGAAATTTGTCTGACTCTTTTAGGATATTTAAATTCATGGTTCCTGGTCATAGTTAAGAGAACTGGAGGCACAGTGTCAGCGATACTGAAGAGAGCCAAACAAATTCAGCATTGCATAGCATACAATTTATTAGGGGATCTTACAGAAACATGGCCATGGATGGCATAAAAACCATTGGATCTTTGCAGTTGGGATCTTAAAGAAAAAGTGATCACATAATATTGAAGAATAAGGTACAACCCTTAAACCACAACCTTATTGTTAAGTTTCACATATGGCTAATGGCTTTATCTACTTATTGTTTTCTGAGTAATTATATGGAGAAAAACCTCCCAGCATTACCCCCAGGAAATCAGAGTTGTTATAAGTCAAAGTGGCTATAGTAATGTCAAGTTATATCCATATAATTGTTCATGGTTGTCACAGTTTTTTGCATTTCTATACTTTATGTTTTAGTGTCCTTTTCTTTATACAGTCCCAACTCTCTTTCCAGTGCAGAGAATATGCTGAATTGATCCTGCATCAGTAGTTTTTTTAATTTAGCTGATAAACTGTAAAGTGTGAGATGTGCAGGTCTCCTAATACCAAAACCATACTATGTCCAGCCATCCTGTCTCTAGGCTCTGTCAGTCACCATCACCGGCACTATGCTCCAATACTTCTTAAAGACATCTGAGTATAAAATTTCTAAATTTCCTTAAATAATTAAATAATTATTGATAGTTATTTGACAACAATGTTCATAGTATCCTCCGGAGGAAAGCCTGAAGATGAAGGATGGGGAATATGTAGACTGAAAATTGAGAAAGTCATTAAGTCCTGAAAAGATACACAACTTGAGCAGAACTGAACATTAACTTCTCTCATTTCTGTCTATCTGTATTATCAAGTAGATTTGTTGGTTTTCATAGTATGAATAAATTCATTGAGAAAACAAAAAATATTTGCATGGAACCTTATGAATTTATTAACAGTTTTGAATAGCAACAGGTTTATTCCAATAAGATAAACCATCCTAGATACCTTTTTAATAAGCCTTTGCTTTCACATATATAAAAGGATTTTCCCCCTTTGATTATTATAAGAGGTCTCTAATTGATGAACTGTCGAAAAAGTTCTTTATGTAGTTTAACCATAAAAATCCTAGAAATACTTTCTATATTTATGTTGAAGAATGCTATTCTCTCAGCTATCAAACTTTTCCTCAAATAGTCTATTCTGGTATCTATAAGTATAATGAGCCTGGTATGGTGTGCATGTCTGTAATCCTAGCACTTGGAAGCCTGAGGCAGATAGATCCTTGCAAGTTCAAGACCAACCTGGGATACAAAGTAAGCTCAAGGTTACGCTATACTGCCTTTGAGACCCTGTCTCAAAAAGAAAAACAACCAAACAAAAAAAGTTTACTTTTCTGCATTGTTTCTGGTTTGTTTGTTTGTTTGTTTGTGTTTTGAGATATTTTGGGGTTTGGTTTTGTTTTTGTTTTGTTGTACCAAGAATATCAAACTCAGGGCCTTGTACTTACCTGGCAGATGTTGCACCTCTGAACTACATCTCCAGGCCCTTTTATACATTTTTTTATACATTTTTATTATTTTACATATTTGTTATATACAATGATTATGTTCATAATGGAAATTTTGAACTCATACCTATTTATATCTTTGGGTTTGTTCTGTTTGAGACAAGGTCTTACTATGTAGTTCAGACTGGCATTGAAGTCACTATGTAACCCAGGCTGGACTCAAATTTGTATCAGTCCTCTGGCCATTGCCTCAACAGTGCTGGAATTACAGGCATACTCCATAACAGCTAGATGCCTAATATATTTTATCATTTTGGGGAGGGCACCAGTAATTGAACTTATAGCCTTGTACTTACTATACAAGCTACTGAGCTATATCCCTTGCCCTGCGTAATATATTTTAATTATTTTTTGCCAATTCCCCTCCCCTCCCTCAACTCTTCTTTCTTTCTTTCTTTCTTTCTTTACTTATTTTTGTCTTTTTCATTTTTTATCGGTACGGGGAATCGAACTCACGACGCCTGCTTGCAAGGCAGGCACTTATGCTACTGAGCTAAATCCCCAGCCCCACCTCCAACTCTTCTTTCCCCTTCTCATTTACATAAGGTCTGTTTCTAGTAAATATTGGTATTTTATTAGAAAAAAATGAAGGCTGGGAAATTAATGGAATTTATAACATTTTGTGGGTCCCTTGGGATTTTAACATAATTAAACGTTTATGACTTTACTCTGAATTTTGTACTAGAAATCAAAATTAGGACCTCATTCCTGCCAGGTAGGGACTTATGCCATTGATCCAAATCCCTGGCCCAACTCTGAAAGACTTTTACATCTTAATTTTATTTATTGCACTTGTCAAAAATTCTGTTTCAGTGGCCATTTTTAGGAGACAGGATACATTCTCTCATTATTTACTGCTATGCTAATTTGAGGAGTTTTTGTAGATTTATAACATGTAGACTTATTACATTTGCTTCATTTTTTTCTCATCAGTAGTATTTATTCACATGAACAGTTTTACAAAAATTATAGCACTCAATGTTTAACACACACTTATTTATAGGAGGTCCTGAATAGCATGCTTTTTTTTGGTTTTTGTTGTTTGTTTGTTTGTTTTTGGCTTTTTGAGACAGGGTCTCACCAAGCAGTTCAGGCTGGCCGTTAGCTCACTTTGTAGCTCACACTGCTCTCAAACTTGTAAAGATATTCTCCTGCCTCAGGCTTGTGAGTGCTGGGATACCAGGTGTGCCCCACTATGCCCAGTGTTTGCTTCATTTCAATCTGAGAAATTTTATCATAAGTTAATTGTAAATTGAGAATTTTTTGCATTTGTTGATATTATTAAAAGAAAATTTTAACATTTTAGATCAATTAATTAAATTTAACATAATTTATATAAGCAAAAATTCTGAATTGTACAAAGTGGTTGAGAATTTCTTTACTTCCATGATAATTATGTGTATAACCAGAGAAATAATAAATGACACATAGAATTTACCTAGTTGGTGAAGTTTGCCTTCACTAGACGTAGCCTGGAAATGGCTATGGATTTGGCTTTCATTGGATAACACTCAAATGCTTCATTGCAAAAGTACATTCTTAGGTGTCTTGGTTACTTTTCTCTCATTGTTAGACACTAATGATGCCCAAAATGAAGAAAGGAAAGCTTTGTTTAGCTTACAGTTTTTGGAAGTTTCAGTCCATACTTGTCTAGCTCAAAAGCAGGGTGGTGTGGCTGAGAGCCAGTCACTCAAGGCTTCCCCAAAAGACAAGAGTAAAAAGGACAAAAAGGG